GTGTGTGTGTGTGTGTGTGTGTGTGTGTGAGAGTGTGTGTGAGTGAGTGAGTGAGTGTGTGTGTGTGTGTGTGTGTGTATGAGTGAGTGTGTGTGTGTATTAGTGAGTGAGTGCGTGTGTGTGAGAGTGTGAGAGAGTGTGAGTGTGTATGAGTGAGTGAGTGAGTGAGTGAGTGTGTGTGTCTGTGTGTGTGTGTGTGTGTGTCTTGTCATGTTTGCTTTGCCGTGTCAGATCAGCACAAGACTGTGCAAGCTCAATCAGTCATGAGGAAGAGGCTGCCAAACCCGCTCACCTTCTTTAGTGGGCAGAGTGTTCTTCTCCGCCGTGTTTGTCTTCTTTAGACATCTCTTGTCAAACTGCTGCACTTCTTCTTTAACAGGGTTGTCGCTCATTTTGGAGAGTCTGTGAGAATTCAAGTCATTGAAAGTTAATGGCAGTTTCAGTCTCTACATGCAATGACTGCTTTATATCTTCCTAATTAGTCCTTTACAACCGTCTGTTCATGAATCAAAGCTTTCTACAAACAAAGCATTGGAATTATTGACATTTAACGCTGTGGTCAAACCAAATATGTGTTTGGACTGTATTTGTCATTCATCTGCTGTTCGAATCTTTCTCAAACTGCGCTGGCATTGCAGGCAACGGCATCTTAATCGTGGTCAAACCACATTTTGAAAAGCAGAAGGGTGTTTAACTACCCAAGACCCATTTCCTCAAAGCTGTAAAGCTGAAGTTTTGGTGACTCTGTTTGGACACGTCGACGCGCCCCGCCTGCCGCCCTCAGGTGTGTGTTTCTGCAAGCCCTTATCAGCCAGAGCAACAGAGAAATCACTGGCCTAAAATTACACTCTCCTGAAATGGACTTGGCTTTTGCATATTTGCAGAAACCATAAGTGCACTGGAGCTTAACAGATACAACAACAGGAAGTCATTTTACAAAATCACTCTGTGCAGCTACTATCATAATATTTCTTAATAAGGTACGCCTACTTCATGTTGCCACATTGTCTTTGGTTTTAAGCAATATAAAATAATCTAAATGAACAGTTTTATTCAAGTCATTACTTAACATGACTGAATAGCTAGTTTTAAGGGCCAGATCATATTCACTTTTTACTTATAACATAATAGATCTCTCTAAAAAGAGAGATATGTGATATTCGGTTTCACACATTGAACACAATGTCAGTTTAGTAAATCTAAATATGCTACCTCACAGTTCTTATGAGCAGATGACACATCACAGTAGTATCAGTGTTAGTTGTATTCTCAAACAACCGTGGTTAACAATATCAGAACAATCTCACGCAGACACACACAAGTAAATAAAGAAGAAATGCTCTCAGTGGGCCTCATGATCAGGCTCATTAATGATTTGATATCATCACGATCAAATCCTCACTTCTTCACCACACCCAAATGTTATGTGACTCGCGCCAAATCTCTGGGATTCTGTGACACTGCCAGATACTTCAAATATTTGAATGTTTGAAACGTTCCAAAAGCGCTATACAGTTAGAAGGGTTTTTTCTAACTGTGTATAGCGCTTTTATGCGCCATAAGAATTAATGACAGACTGCGTAACCCAAAGGCACACACACACACACACACACACACACACAAACACACACACGCCGCACCACACTACGCATTCTGCATTGACAGGTGTGCATATGCTGTCCTGCCTTGACGTTCCCCCTCCATATTACTATTAAATCTACATGAAGTGTAAACGTATATTGTCTCATGTTTGCAATTTTATAATGTGCCTGTACACTTTTATAGAAACACGTCCGTCTTGATTTAGATTGCATTAATAGTACCGAAACAGTGTGCAAAATTATATGAAATAAAATGGTGTAGTACCGCAAAATCTCTTTATCAGATTAAATAAACACATAATTTGGTGCATTAACGAGCCTTACCTGGCGCTGGCCTCGGGACTGTAGTACACTAGATCTGTTAGACTGAATCTCTGTGCGCTGCTCAAGGTGGGCGGCCGCTTTAAATACTGGCCATCAGAGCCCAACACAGCGCAACAGGACGGGTGTAATCCGCTCGCTCTGATTGGCTCAATCTCTCACTCCTGTATTCTGATTGGATAAACGCGCAGCGCTTCTGCATTGTGATTGGACAAACCTGAACTGCAGTGAAGCAACGGTAAGTGAGAAATCTTATAAATGGGAATGAATATTATAGTAAAATCCGTGAACGTGTTTCTAGACACCTCGACTCAAAATAATGCAGCTGATGCAGGGTTTCTACCTACTGAGTGAGTGAGGATGTGAATCTATCAGCAGCGCCATCTTGTGGCGATTAACACCTTCAGATGCAAACATTTTGCCGATGCAAAAACCTAAATGAACGCTCATTCAAGTTCTTTTTTAAGGCGAACAGAGACAAGCCTTTTTAATTTAAATCACTTAAAGGCACAAAATGTAATTTCCACCGCTAGAGGGCGCATATTCAAAACAAACAAAGAGACAAAGGTGTAGTTTGATGATGCTGTGACTGAGTGTGGAATCATGGGAGTTGTGGTCTTCATCTCCACAGCCGATGCAATCCGACGGGACTCGGGCAGAAATCATGTTCATGGATGAGCTAATGATTTATTAACGTAGTAGAATGAAGCAGGGTGAGGCTGAAAGCCGTCGAAGCGAAACGAGGCCGCTGAACAAGCGTGACACACGGCTCGAAAGCAGTGGAGCTTTTATTATGCCACAGTCGACCGCTTCCGCTGCTTCCGGTCGTGCGTATGTGGGGTAAAGCAGCGGAGCTTTTATTATGCCACAGTCGACCGCTTCCGCTCCTTCCGGTCGTGCGTATGTGGGGTAAAGCAGCGGAGCTTTTATTATGCCACAGTCGACCGCTTCCGCTCCTTCCGGTCGTGCGTATGTGGGGTAAAGCAGCGGAGCTTTTATTATGCCACAGTCGACCGCTTCCGCTCCTTCCGGTCGTGCGTATGTGGGGTAAAGCAGCGGAGCTTTTATTATGCCACAGTCGACCGCTTCCGCTCCTTCCGGTCGTGCGTATGTGGGGTAAAGCAGCGGAGCTTTTATTATGCCACAGTCGACCGCTTCCGCTGCTTCCGGTCGTGCGTATGTGGGGTAAAGCAGCGGAGCTTTTATTATGCCACAGTCGACCGCTTCCGCTGCTTCCGGTCGTGCGTATGTGGGGTAAAGCAGCGGAGCTTTTATTATGCCACAGTCGACCGCTTCCGCTGCTTCCGGTCGTGCGTATGTGGGGTAAAGCAGCGCTGTTTTATCATACTAGATACATTTGAAAGTTCTGTTATAATGCTACTCTGTGCGGTC